GCCGTTGGCCAGCAGGTTGGAGACATACAGCAGGGAGAAGACACAGAAGAGGAGCACTTCCATGTCCGCGCCGAGGGGGAACCCCACCAGGATGAGATCTGGGATCCAAGACTGGTTGCCCCCCATCCTGAATGGTAGCGTGCTCTGGAGTGAAACATGAATGAAAATCCGAAGCTGAAGGTCAGGGTGGAGTTAGTAATGTTAAAATGAGCTCTGAGAAAGCATAAATGATAATCTCTACTGGACTCAGTATTTTCCCGATGTTTCTTTGATTTTTGGGTGTTTTTCCATTTTATTGTTATGTTATTATTCTTTCAGAAAAAAATAAAAACTCTAAACATTGCATTAATGCATTTCACTGTATTATTTCATTTCATTTTTTTTCATCTCTTTTTTCATGATTGTGTATTTGTGTTTGGATACACATGTTTTTTATTTTTTTTTTTTTTTGAACCAGTAAGTGCTGAAATAATGCCAATTTTCCCCTCTTGTTTTCTCAAGGACTATTCTATTCACTATTCTACTTCTCACCTTCCGCATCTCTGGCCTGTACCCCAGTTCTGTACAAATAAATAAATAAATCTTTAAAAAAAAAAACACAGAAACAACAAATGTTGACAGGTCAATTTAGAAAATGGAACCTGTGGACACTCTTGGTGGCAATGTAGATTGGTCCAGCACCAATGGAAAAGAGTATGTGTGTTTCACAAGATACTAGAAATAGATCTACTACATTAGCCAACATTCCACCCCTCACTGAAATTACTTTTATTTCTCTTGTCCTGGTGTTGGGTCCCCAAAACATCCGTGAAGGCAATGCCCTACAGTGTTTGTCTAGGTGTGTTTTCTTGTATCTGTGTTATGGTTTCAGATCTGCCTCCAAAGTCTTTAACCTATTTGAGTTTCTGTATGGTATAAGGTAGGGGCCTAAGTTCATGCTCTTGGATGAAACTGTCCATTTTCCCCAACACCAACTGGGGTGTTTTTCCTTGACCTTAAGTGGCATTATACCACCATGCCAAGATGTGAGCACTACAAATAGCATAAAATTCCACCCTCCTTCATCACGTCCTCTGTTTGCGCAGTACTCTGTTGAAGGCAGCCTTCACTTGGGCATTCCTCAAACTATAGATGAGAGGGTTGAGCAAAGGGTTGAAGAGATCATAAAACAGGGAAAGGACTTTCTTCTGCTCATCCCAGTGACCATCATCTGGGACCAAGTAAATCAGCATAGCAATGCCAAAGTAGAACCCAACCACACAGAGGTGGGAGGAGCAGGTGGAGAAAGCTTTTCTGCGGCCCTCCTTTGACTTGATCTTCAGGATGGCCAAGAGGATGCGCATGTAGGAGACCAGCATCACAGAAAGGGGCCCCACTAAGATAAATGCAGCAGTAGAGATGACAAAGAGTTTGCTGACCCAAGTGTCCCCACACGACACTTTGAGGACAGCTAGGACTTCACAGAAGATGAAATTCACCACCCGGGTCTCACAGTAGGGCAATCTCAGAAAGAGAATCAGGTCTCCTAAGGCAAGAGAAAAACCACAAGCCCAGGAAGTGATGGCCAGCACCGTGCACAGTCTC